GCCTGTAATTTGCTTTTCTTGTGATGTTTTGGTATCAAGGTTATTCTGGCCTCTTAAAAATGAATTGAAAAGTGTTCCTTCTTCTTTGAAAGGTTTTTGTTAAGACTAGTATTTCACCAGTGAAGCAATCTGAATGTAGTTTTCTATGTGAGAAGGTTTTTAATTATAAATTTAGCTTCTCTAACTGATAACAACTATTCAGATTTTCTATTTCATTTGTTTGGTTTGGAAACTTGTGGTTTTTAAGCAACTCAACTATTTCATCTAACTTGTTAAATTTATTGACATATTGTTCATAATTTCCCTTAATTCCCTTTAAATGTCCATAGGATCTGTGTTGATGTCTTCTCTTGCGTTCTTGATGTTGGTAATTTTCAGGCATGATTTTTTATATCTTCTCTCTAACTTTTCACATCTACATCATCTTTTCTGTTCCTATTTTAATTTAAGACAATGCCTAAACTTTTGCTAGGACTGTTAAAATAATCTTATACTAGCCTTCCTGTTTACAGTCTTGTTTCTCTGTATCCCAGTCACTTAATTACAGGAAGAAAGTGCAAATGTCATTAAATCTTTTTTGGCTTAAAACTTTTTAATGGTTTCCTGATACCTTCAGAATAAAAATCTAAGCTCCTTCATATGGAATACAAACTCATTAATGATAAGGTATCTATTTCTCTCAGTAGAATCCTATTTTTTCCTATATATTCTTTTCCCTTTTAATCTCTCCCTGCAAAGCCATAGGGAGCTATACTTCACTGACTTTCTAGGTGCTCTAATTTGTCATTCATCATCTTAAAATTGAATGCAGCATTCAGATGTGATATGATCAGTACTAAGGAGGCAAAAATTGTTTCCTCACTTCTCCTTTACTGAGATTATTATTAATATCTGTTAGGTATGGTGTCAATATTCATTTGACATAATACTTTTTGTTCAGTGTATCTTTACATTCACAGCAATATCTAGCTGCAAAGCATTATTTTTAACCCACTTTTAATTTTACTGTTATCTCAAAACATATTGATACAATATGCGTGAATTTGCTATAACCAGAATATCTATCAGATAGCTAGTTGATCCTCCCCACACCGGTGATGCTGAGTTTTATTTCAGCTTGAGGGTGTTAGTGTTGGTTTTGACTAATCACCCAGATGACTGGATGATTTATATTTCTTTATAGTACCATTTCATAGTTTGCAAAATCAAGAAACATTCCTCTGAAACTGGTTAGCTGGTTTGGAGGTAAGGCAGTTGTTTCTTTTCTTGTCAGTCCTTCACCTCTTCACCCCCAGGGGAATTAGGATGTCCCATGTTATGTTTAAAAGCCTAAACACTTCAAACTTTTATTCTCCTGTTGAGCTTGAAAGGGGGACGTTATTAGCTCTGTCTTGATGTAGCAGGGGCTCTGAAAGTCTATTTGGATAACACTGAAGATTGGAGGAAATGTGACTCTGTCTGTGTGTTTTAAGCCCCTAAGGTAAGATCAGAAAGCGTCTGGGGCAATGAGAGCCAAATAGTTGAAGTCATACATTAATTATGGTCATGAATCATTTTTATTTTTAGAGTCTTTACCATTTGACAAGGTTGTTTGCATAGTACTCTGGTGAGTTTTAGGCAGCATTTTCCCTCCTTTCAAAGTAACAGGCTATTTTGTTGAGTTCTACTTTGGGTTGATAATGCCTATCAAATTAGAATTCTGATAACATTTTTAGTAGAAATTGCTTGTTTCTTGCCAGAGTGAATGGTCTTTAATTTATGTGATTTTTGTTTTGAATATATTTTGAAATTATAGATACAGAAAACTAGTACGTTAGTCTTTCACTGATATCAGTAAAAATAATCAAAATCTTGGGACTGTACTTTTGTATGCAGGCATTAGTCGACCTTAAGTCAGCAATATATTTTGAGTGCCTTTGTGCCACATTCTCTGCTAAGTACTGGGAATGTAAATGAAAAAAATGAGTGTTTTTTTTTTCTTTTTTCCCAGAAATCTAGTAAAGAAATAGACAAGGAAATAGGCAGTTGCTGTAAAATGTGGTTCTCTAATCTTTGTTAGTGTTGTTGTATACATGATGCTGTGGATCTCCGTAGGAAGAAGTGTCTCTACCTGTCTGGAACAGTCGGGAAGGCCTTTGAGGAAGAAGGTATGCTTGAGCTGCCTGTTAGTGGGTTTGGGAGTATACTTATCTGTTAAGAGAGAGTGAAGCTTGTAGGCAGATAGAACAGCTCACTGAAAGGTACAGAAGGAAGAAATGGCATGATGTGTTTGGGGAGAGTTGTTAGTAGTTCAGCATTGCTGGAGTTGCACGTGCAAAGTAAGCATATCAGAAACGAGGTGGGGACCACATCACAAAGGTCCTCTCCTTGCTTTTAAATTTCTTTAGCATCACCTTTGTAGGCGAGTATTGCCATCAAGAGAGTGTGGACGAATTCACACCCAGAGCAGGAGGCAATAGGATGGAGGATAATCTCCTCTATTGGATTCCTTTGGAGTCCTGAGGAAGTTGCAGAAGAACTGCTCTCATGAGTAATCTCATAAGATTTGCTCCTTTTTAGATGACCTAAGAAATCCTCAGTAGCTCTCAGGCAACTTCTGAAAGTGCAGAATATGTCATGAATATTTTTAGTGCAAGGTGTCCTAATAATAATGTTGGCAGAGGTGCTGATGCCATCAACTCCCTGATAAAATTAACATCCTCATATATAGGATAACTTTCAGTTTAGGACAGTTGACCAGTTTTAAAAATCGGAAGTAAAATTTATATACCGTGAAATACTTAGATTTCAAGTTTAAATTCTGTGTATCCTCCTGTGTGCCTCACCCCAATCAAGACATGGAACATTTCCATCACCTCAGGTAGTTCCTTAGCTCGCCTTGCTCTCTACCAGTCAGTCCTGCCTCACCCAGGCAGCTAGCCACTCTTGATTTCTGTCACCATACATTGCTTTTACCTGTTCTTAAACTTTGTTTAAATGGAATCATATAGTATGTACTTTTTCGTTCCTGGCTTTTTTCACTCAGCATAATGTTTTTTTGAGATTCATTCATATTGTTGTGTATATCAGTGTTGTGTTCCTTTTTATTGCCGAGTAGAATTTCGCTGTATGAATATACCACAATTTGCTTATTAATTCTCCTGTTTGATGGACGTTTGGATTGTTTTCTATGAACGTTCTTATATATAGCTTCTTGTGGACGTGTTTTTGTATTTCTTGAGTAAATGGTAAGGAGTAGAAATACTGGGTCATAGGTTAGATGTATGTGTAACTTTACAAGAAACAGTTTTCCAAAGTGATGATACTGTTTTATACTTTTATCACCAATGCATGCAAGTTTCAGTTGCTGCACATCCTTGCTAGCATCAGGTGTTGTCATTTTAATTTTAGTTATTCTAACAAGTGTGAAATGCTATCTCATTACGATTTTAATTTTCATTACCATGATGACTAAGATTTTGAGCTTCTTTTCCTATGCTTATTGACCTTTCTTATATCTTCTTTTGTGAAGTGTTTCACTCTTTTGCCCATTTTTAATTGGGTTGTCTCTTTGTTACTGGTTTGTATGAGTTCTTTATATACTCCAGGCACAGTACTTTGTCGAATTAATGTTTTACAAATATTTTCTCCCAGTCCATGGACTGCTTTTATATTTTCTTAACAACATCTTTAGATGAAAAGACATTTTTTATTTAGGCAGTGCCTAATTTATCCATTTTTAATTTTAAGGTTAGTGCTTTTTGTGTCTTCTCTAAGAAATCTTTGCCTACCCCAAGGTTGCAAGAGATTCTGTGTTTTCCTCTATAGATTTTATGACTCTAGCTTTTATGTTTACTATGATCTCCTTGAACTAATTTTTTTTCTGCTGTGAGGTAGGGAACGAGATTCATTCCCTACCTCACAGCAACTGTGTTTACCCACTGTTCCAGCACCATTTGTTTAAAAAACTTTCCTTTTTCCATTAATTTGCCTAGGTTCCTTTGTCCAAAATCAGTTGGCCATATGTGTGTAGGTCTGTTTCTATACCCTTTATTCTGTTCCTTTGATCTGTCTTTTGATCCTTATGCCAGTACCAGATTCTTTTGATTACGTAGCTTTATAGAAAAGGAAGTTTTGAAATCTGGCAGATTTAAAGATTGGTTTATCTCTTCTAGATTCTTTGTTTTTCTATATAATTTATAGTATGAGCTTCCTAATTTCTACAAAAAGAAGCACACATACACACAAAAACAAAGCCTGTTGGGATTGGGATTGTGACTGTGAAATTATTGACCCATATATAGAAATATAACTGAGTGTTTGTTGACCTTGTATCCTGTGACATTATTAGTTCTAGTAGTTGTTTTGTGGATTCCTATTGATTTTCTACATGAAAATCATGTTACCTGTGAATAAAGACAATTTGACCATTTTTAGTATGTACATGTATACAAAATATATAAGCTATACTTGAAGACAAAGAGACAAAGAAAAACACAAACCCATAATTAAAGCAAAAAAGAAAAATAGTTAATTTTTTCAATGCTCCTTGTTTCAAAGGGGCTGCTGATTTAATTCAGTCTTCTTCACTTGGGATTATTGTTAATTTTTTTTCTTTGTGGATACCCAACAAGTAATAGCCTTCATAGCAGTGGGGTTTTTTGGTGACTTTAGTAATGTAGCTAATTTCTCTGGGCCTCAGTTTCCCATCTGTAAAATGATAGGGTTCAATCAGATTATTTTCTAAGGTCTCTTTCAGATTCCTGTGAGTTCTTCATTTTAGCTCTCAATACATCACAGTCAGTCAGATGGGTACAGAAAGGGTGTTTTTAGAATATATCGTGACTCTTGTTATTTCCTTGTTGTAAATATGCTAGAGAATTGTGAAATCATCAGTTGAGTTCATAATTAATTCTCTTTATCCTGGAAACTTTGTCCTCATTTTGTTCCATTTATGCCCGTGGCTCTGTGTTGAGTTTATAGTTAACTCACTTAAATTTTTCTACAACTTTTATTTCTAGGCTTCATAGAGCCCAGTGTGCAATTAAACAGACTCAGGTAACTGTTCAGAAAATTGGAAAGGAAATTGAAGAAAAACTAAGACTCACATCTACAAGCAATGAGCTGGTAGGTTTTTATATATTAACCTATTTAAATTCCTTGATTTCTAAATGTGATCACCGTATTCTTCTTATATTTATTTCCCTCTTTTTCCCCCCAAAAAACTTCAGGTAGTTTTTTCTTTCTTTTTATTTTTTTCCTCTTAATGTTTCACTGAGACTTCTGTTGGCATTTAAATGTTATAAATAAACTTTCCCATCTGCTAATAGTGTAACATACAAAGTGCCTGCCTTTTTATGCTAGTTGAAACTTTAGATTACATACAATTACTTAGAAGATAATCAAAAGCTATTTTATTAATATCTTATAAATGTGAACTCTAGACATAAACTGTATAGTGAATGAAAAATAGCTGCCAGAAGAAAAAAAATAATAAACTGTAGATACTAATCTGCTTTTAAAAGATGAATTTAAAATTATTTGGATTGAATTTAATAGGTTAGTTTATGGACAGTGTTCTCTTTGGGGAAAGATTCTTTTAATGAAGTATTTCCAAAGAAATAGAAAGGCCAATCCAAATGGACAGATTTAAGATATTAGTATAATTTTGGGGTTGCTTTATACTCTTCCTAGTGGGGAAAAATATATTAATTTTGGAACGAAGATTCTGTCTTTTTAAGCAGAATAGTGGGTATAACTAATAAATGGAACTTTTCTCAAAATGAAGTCACAGTGCTAATGATAGCTTTTGGTGAAATTTGTGCTATAGATAATGATACTTAAAACTCAAATCCTCAAATTAAGTCCAAAGTGAAAAATTTTAAATATTTGTTTGCACAAACTCGATACCATAGAAAGGCAGTATCTTCTAGCTGTCGTTCACAGCACTGTCAACTTGGCAGAAGGTCTTTATGTCCCCAAACAAAAGTTCCATTATCTGTAAGATTTGTCTGAGATAATAATTCAGTGGATGAACTATAGAAAGCAACATTGCAATTAACCTATACAGACTTCTCTCTCATGGAATTTGAAATTAATGGATGATAAAGTATTTAATCTATATAAAACTGCTGACTTTGACCTATAACTTGCAGTGTCATATAGTTCAGTCTAATATGTAAAATGGCTAGTGCTGTACCTGGCACATAGCAGGCATACAAAATATGGTAGCTGCAATAACTATGGTAGTGACACTTTTTATTCATATGACTTTTCATACCTATGGAAAATCTTCCACTTTGGAGAAGTTATTAAACCACCTCCTTTTGTAACTTAGGTCCAGTAAAGGACCAAACTCCAGGCCACAGATATATTGGAGGAGGAGAAAAAATAGCTAATTTTAATCCTTTCTGTAGTGTACAAAAATACCACATTTTTAGAGCCTTTGGGGAGAAACTGCTAGCTTTTTTCTTATTTTCCTCTCTCAAGGCAAGACTGGGAAATTACTTATTTCATTAAGTGACAGCATATGTTTTGTCTCAGTATGGAAAAATGTATGTTTAATCCTATTTTTCTAAAATATAAGTGGTGACACGCAGAGCAAGGTGATAGAATGTATGAGTTTAAAGAGGTCAGGTTCAGAGGTTCACTGTGTGTTTTTATGTGGCCTAGTCAACATATAAGAAAATCACTGGATTTTTGAACTGAAAGTGAACCTAGAAATCTAGTTCCCTTATAACCTCACTTAAAACCACACTCCCCTCAGTACCTTCTGTCCCCTTCCCTGTTTTGTTTTTCTCCATAGTATTTATTACCCTTTAACATGCTATATACTTCACATATGTATTTTATTTGTCTGTCTCTCTAAACTCTGTGAGGAGAGGGATTTTTGTCTATTTTTTTTTCCCTCATGGCTGTATTTCCCAGTGTCTAGAAAAGTGACACACAGTAGATCAATAAATATTTGATGAATTTAAGGATGAATCTAGTGTAATCTCTTTTTAAAATAACAGGAAAATGAGACCTAAAGAAAGTAAGCAACTTTCCCATGATCATTGACAAATAGAGACAGAAATTTTGGTTTCCTTGTCTCCTTTCAGAGGGTAATACCAGGTACTTGTTTGTTATCTACTGTAAGGTTTACCTGTAGGAAATTAGAAGCCCTTACTATTATATTTTTTTCTTCATTCCCTTTCCAAATTGGCCCAAGGTCATTATACTTCAACCCAAGCATTTTCAATATATAAGAATTAATTTTAGTCTAAGTATAAATACAGTCAGAAGGCATATTTGATGTGTAAAGAAATCAGATTACCTTCTAAGATCAAATGTAATTAACTGTTTAGAAGAAATCGGGTTCATACTTGATGACTTTCGAAACTTTGACATCTTCTCGTCAATGTCGAACATAATTTTTTGGCATTATGTTTTTTAGGAAATTTCTGCTGTTGTCATTTTGGATTTTTGCTTAAATGTTTTGGATTTTGTCAAATTGCCTTTCCTTGTATCTGTTGAGATAATTTTATGTTTTTCTCTTGTATTATGATAATGAAGTACATTGATTTTTGAATGTTCATCCAACTTAGGATTGCTAGGGAAAGCCCCTCTTGTTCATGATGAATTATTCTTTTTACGTAAATTTCTAGATTCAATGTGCTAAAATTTTGTAAAGGATTTTTGCATCTATATTAAGGTGGAATATTGATCTGAAGTTTTGTTTTCTTGCCAGCTTGTTGTTTGGTTTTGTTGGGGTAATGTTGGTCACAACTAGTGAATTGGGAAGTGGTTCCTCTATTTTCTGGAAGAGTAAGTGTAGAATTGGAATTATTTCTTAAAGGTTGGTAGAATTTACCAGTGAAGCCATCTGGGCCTTTGTGGGCCCAGATGTGGAGTCTTCTTTGTGGGCTTTGAGTTAGGAATTCAATTCTTTAATAGTTGAGGTGTTACTGAAGTTAGCTGCTTCTTGAGTAGGCTTTGGTTGCTTGTGTCTTTCAGGGATTTGTGCATTTCATTTAAGAGGTTGGTCTTTTTAATTTTAGCTATTGGGTATATAGTGCTTTCTTAGTTTGGTTTATAATTGTATTTCTATTATGATAATTTTTCATATCTTTATTGGTTATCTTTTAAGAGGTGTAATTTTAAATATTTTTGCCCATTAGGAAAAGAAAAACTCTATTTAGATTTACAGAAAACTTGTAAAGATTGTTCAGAAAGGTTCCATACACCTTTCATCCAGTTTCTTTTAATGTTAACTTCTTGTATAGCCATGTTACATTTGACATGGTACATACAACTTGGTATATCATCAAACCAAGAAATTAACATTGATACATTACTATTAACTGTGGATTTTATTCAGGTTTCACCAGTGTTTCCACTATGTCATTTTTATTTTACAACAGTTTTAGATTTGTAGAATTATTACAAGATAGTACAGAGAGTTACCCTGTAAACCCCACATCTAGTTTCTCCCATTATTAACATCTTACCTTAGTATGGTACATTTGTCATAATTATTGAACCTGTATTGATAAGTCATCATTAACTAAAGTCCATGCTTTATTCAGATTTCCTTAATTTTTATCTAATGTCACTTTTCTGTTCCAGGATCTCATCCAGGAAACCATACTGCTTTTAGTAGCTATGCTTCCTTAGACTTTTCTTGGTTGTGAAAATTCCTCAGACTTTGATTTTTTTGATGACTTTGACAGTTTTAAGGATTATTGGGTCAGCTGTTTTATATAATATCCCTTGATTGGGGTTTGTCTGATGTTTTGTTGTGATTAGACTGGATTCTAATGTCTTTTTTTCTTCCAGTATCCAGTCTAGGACACCACACTGGTTTTAGTCATCATGACTTCCTAGGCTTCTCTGATCTTTGACAGTTTTTCATTCTTTCCTATTTTTAAATCACCATGACTAATCACTGTTGATAGTAACCTTGATCACTAGGTTAAGGTGATGTCTCCCAGGTTTATGCACTCTAGAGTTCTATTTCCCTGCTCAATTTTTTGAAAGCCAGATTCTAAGCCCAGCCTCCACTCCAGAGGAGGGGACTGAAGCTCCACCTCCTGGAAGGGAGACTGTCTACACACATTATTTGGGTACTTTGTGAGGAAGATTTGTCCCTTCTTCCCTCCACGCATTTATTTATTCAGTCGTTTAATTATCAGTATGGATTTGTATCTATTTATTTTATACTTTAGGTTACAATCTGATACGATGTTCTTTATTTCCTTGCTTCAACTGTGGCATTGAGAGCTCTCTCAGGATGGGTTCTGTGTCCTTTTGACATGCCCTCATCTCCTTTTTGTTCGTTTGTTTTTTAAAGCAAGTTCTTAATTTCTGGCACTATGTGATCTGGACTCATCAGGTATTTTCCCTGTCTCAGCCCTAGAATCAGCCATTTCTCCTAGGAATCCTGTTCCTTTCATTGAACAATGGAATTTAGAAACAAGATCTGGGCACTGGGTGCGCTTGTTGCTTCTGAGTTGTAAGTGCTTCTAAGCCCTCTCAGTGGACAGAGCTGGTATATACAGGTATCCGTCTCGCTATGTATTAAACAACATACATTTATTTATCTATTTTTTGCTGCATTGGCTCTTCGTTGCTGTGCGTGGGCTTGCTCTGGTTGCGGCGAGCGAGGGCTACTCTTCGTTGTGGTGCGTGGGTTTCTCATTGCGGTGGCTTCTCTTGTTTCAGAGCACCGGCTCTAGGTGCGCGGGCTCAGTAGTTACAGCGTGTGGGCTCAGTAGTTGTGGCTCGCGGGCTCTAGAGTGCAGGCTCAGTAGTTGTGGCACATGGGCTTAGCTGCTCCACAGCATGTGGGATCTTCCCAGACCAGGGCTTGAACCTGTGTCCCCTGCATTGGCAGGCGGATTCTTAACCACTGCGCCACTGCGGAAGTCCCTTCCCTCATTTTTAAATGGGACTTTTGTCTTCTCATGCTGTGGTTAAAGACTGTGTGGGCATGCATGTGTGTGTGTGTGTGTGTGTGCGCGCGCACGCACGCGCGTGTGTGTGTGTGTGTGCGCGCACGCATTTCTGGATACAAGTCTTTTTTCCGATATGTGTGTTGGTAGTATTTTCTTCCAGTCTGTGTTTTGCCTTTTTCTGTTGTTAGTGAT